TTCTCCAAGCGCGTCGTCGACACCCTCTTCAACACCATCACCGGCAAGGTCTGCCTATCTTTCACCCTTTCCGTCATCGGAATTGATTTCTTCCGCAGCGTATCGCGGTCCTTGGCTTCGCCTTCAAGGCGGACACGGGCGACACCCGTGAATCGGCCGCAATCACCCTCATCCGCGACTTCCAGTCCGAGCGCGCATTGATCAACATCTACGATCCGCAGGTCGTCGAGTCGCAGATCTGGGCCGATCTCGCTGAGGCCAGCCCCACGGTCCCCGTCGACAATAGTACGCCTCTCGTCACTTTCTCCGCTGACTAAAACTAATCTGTCGCGCAGTCAAAAAGCAGGTCACCATCTGCAAGTCGGCGCTCGAGGCGTGCAAGGACGCGGAGGCGATCGTGATCGCGACCGAGTGGAAGGAGTTCAAGGAGATCGACTGGGCGGAGGTGTACAAGCACATGAAGAAGCCCGCGTTCGTCTTTGACGGCCGGCTCATCGTTGACGCGGCGGCCCTCACCAAGATCGGGTTCAAGGTGCGTTTGCCCCGGTTTCTATTTCGCGGCCCAGCAGCTGACTCTTCCTCTCGCACGTAGGTGACCATCATTGGCCGACCGGCGCTTTGAAAACTAGATTATTTTTTTATATTCTGCTTGGACATTGGATCGGCATGCATGCGTAGCAGAATCAGTCACTTAGAAATTGTAGGGTATTAATCGAGCGGCGACGGCGGACGGATTCTTTCAGTACAATACATACCCCGTGTTTGCGTAGAATAGAAATGGAAGATGCGGAAAGAAAATTTGCACGTCTGATATTACTCGATGGTAGTTACAATAGAAATAGGAAGAGAAAAACGTTCATTCAGGTCGAGTTCTTTCTAAAACTACACCGGGCGTACTGTAAGTCAGATAACAATACGTAGGATAATCATAAGGAAACACAAAAACGATCAAAGGCGCGCACGAAGAAAGAAGGGGTGCGCTCTACTAGCGTCGCGTGTGGTATCTGGGTCTATCGTCAGGCGGAGACGGGCTGGACGTCGACTTGCATTGGATCAGCGGCGGGTGCTGGTGCAGTTGGGGTCAGCGGTTGGGGAGTAGGCTGAGCAACAATGGGATTCGGCTGGGGAGTAGCCGTAGGATTGGGTGTCGGAGCAGCGGTAGGATTGGGTGCAGAAGCAGTGGGACTCGGTGTCGGAGCAGCAGTAGGATTCGGTGTCGGAGCAGCGGTAGGATTCAGTGCAGGGGATGCAGAACTTTGCGCAGGTTGCTGCTGCACAGCGAACGACGCCGCCCGTTGCTGTGGCAGCGCCGGCGCCGACGCGGGCTTTTGCCCTTCTGGATGCGCCTGCTGGAACTGTACCTGGGGATAAAACGCCGGTGGCGGCCGGTAGTACTGCGAAGACCACGGCTGCGGGCCCGTGTAGTACTGGTTGACGTAGTGCGTCCCGGGGATGTGCTGGGACGCGACGGTCGTGCCGTTGGTGCTGGCCGCAGGGATGTTGCTGCCCGTGCTGCCACTGGTGCCTGTGGTGGAGCTTGTGCTGGCGTTGGTGACGTTCGTGACGGTCTGGGCGCCCGCGGAGGCGTTGTACGTGTTCTGAGCGCTGTTCTGAGCGCCGGCGGGGGCACCGGGGTACGCACCGCCTGGGTACTTCCAGTACTCGTACTTGAAGACGTTGTACGGGTTGTGGGCCTGCGTTGCCGAGTTTGGTTGACTTGTCACCGGGTTGGTTTGGTTATGCTGATTCGAACTCGAGGCGGTGGCGTTGGCTGGGAAACGCTGCGGCGCGGACGACGATGACGCGGTGGCGGGGAGTATTATGGTATTCGGCGGGCGCGCGGGGGAGGGGGCTGCCGCAGCAGCGGCATATTGATAATAGTTATGCGCGTCTGGAGTAGGAGCGGGGTATGGCGCAATCGTCCGCGGGCGGGAGCTTGCGCCCGTTGCGCCTTTCAAGTCCGTTGCCGCCGGCATAGCCATCGTGGGGAGATTCGTCTGTCCGAGGATGATCGCGCCCCATTTGAGCTCGCGCACCTCGCCTTGGTCCCAGAGTACCTCGACGCTGCCCTTTTCCTCGAGTACGCGCATGAGCGTAACCTCGAACACGCCCGAGGAGACGCGGACCTTGACGCGCGAGAGTGGGGGGAGGGCGAGGATGTCGGCGCGCAGGCCTTCTTGCTTGGAGGCGCGGCGCTCGGCGACGATTACCTGCGTTGTATGTGAGTAACATGAAAAAATAAAGAGGGAAGAGGACGACGCACGGGGTTATGCTGCGCACACAACGCCTCGACCTCGATCTTCTTGATCACCTTGAGCACGCGCAGGTTGGGCTCCGCCTGCGCGTCCGGGTCTGCGCTGGCGTTGGAATCCACTGTCGGCGCGGATTCGAGCAGGACGACCTCCTTCTCGACCTCGCGCAAGACGGTGTACGCGATACCCGCTTCGCGCCCGGCCTTGGCGCAGTTGACGTGGAACGCCTTGGGGCACTTGCCCTTGGTGCACTGGATGAGTGCGCCGTGCGCTTTGGGGCGGGCGCGCGCGCATGAGGAGCATTTCTGCAAATAGATGTTAAGTGGGTTAAAAGATGGAGAGAAAAGGAAGGGAGGACGTACGAGACTCCACCGCCCGCGCACGATGCCGTCGACACCGAACACGAGCCGCTCGCCGTTGATCTCGTCGACCCATGTCTCCGGGAGGACGAACGCGCATGCCTCGTGCGCCATCCACACGCCCTTGTCGCCCGTGCTCGCGGGGAAGTGGATGCGCGCGGCGGGCCCGACCTCGCGCCACGCCACGGGCAGGTCGTGCACGCGCGCGAGCCCGGTGGTGGACGGGTCGACGCAGAGGCAGCACGGGAAGGTTTCCTCGCCGGGTGGTGGGGGTCGCGGGCCGAGCTTGAGGGTGAGTTTTTGGGCGGCGGGTGGGTGTGTGTGCGAGGACGAAGACGCAGCGGAGGGTTTGGGCAGATGCGCATGGGAAGAGGAGGGGTGTGCAGAAGTTGAGGCGGAGACGGTGCGCGGGCGCTTTGGAGCGCTGTCGGGCTCGAACGGCGCTGTCGGCTTGCGCTTGCGGGGACTGCGTGGTTTTGTGGGGGCGGCGGCGACCACAGGGAGGGGCTCAGGTTTGGTCTCGATAGCGGGGAGGACCATAGTCTCGTCGCTGTCGACGCCATCGCGTTCGGCACGCGCCCTGGCGGCGGCGGCGGGGTCGGTCTTTTCCAGCGCCTCGATGCGTCGATCCTCGAGCAGCTGATCGACGTCGATGCGCACGCTGAAATCGACGCACTTGCAGACGGCGGCTTTGCGACCCTCGTCCAGCCAGCTGTCAAGGGCAAAGTTCACGCTCTCAGCGCAGTTGAGGCCGAGATTAAATCCGGCGTGGTAGCCGCGCGGGTAGGTGATGACGAACTCGCCCGCGTGCTGCACGAGATGGTTGGGGCGGACGGCGGATTGTGCGAGAAGTGTCGGGGATGCGAGGAAGGATTTGTGCCGCAGGAACTGCGGGCACTGGGAGGTGTCTTTCGGGAAATAGCCTAGACGAGAATATTAATGTGATGGATTAGAGAGACGAGGGGACGTGACGTGCCTCGCATTGTATCCTCTAGAGCACCTGCGCGGGCCTGCGGGACGGCGTACCAAAATTTGGGTGCACCAAAGTGGATGTAGTTTATGGAAAAGAGATCCATGTCTTCGACGTGCCATGCAAAGGTTGCACGCCACATGCCAAAGTAGAGGTAGGGGGTATTTACACCGGGGAGACCCTGGGACGGGGGTAGAAGCCGCGAAAGGGTGGAGGGGAGGTGGGCGACGTTCCAGGCGGTGGTCTCGTCGGTGTAGAGGGAACCTGAGGATTCAGTTAATGGAAAGACAATTGTAGAGCTAGTCACGCACCCATGGTGTCCGCGCCATACCATGCAGGCTTTCCGAGGCCGCAGTTGCGCCAGAAGGCGCGTTCGAGCTTGGCGCAGAATTCGGGGGTGTAGTCGGCGGCGGCGGTGCCTGGAGGAAGCCAGTCGGTATGAGGGCTGAATGTGTCGAGGAAGGACGTGTCCTTGTCGGCGCGCTCGACACGACGGTTGCGGGCCTTGCTGCCCTCAGGCTTCGTGTCCTCGGGTTTTGCGTCCTCGGGGTCGGGGGAGGCGCTATTCGGTGGGGAGGCCATCGCGACGTCCTCGACTGGTTCTGGTTTGACTTCCTCTTCCTTTTCCTTTCCCTTTGGCTTCTTTCTGCGACTGCGGAGGGACGTCTGGGCGCTGGGATTGTTGTGGACGCCGACCTGGTCGACGCCGGGTGCGCGGAACTCGTCCTTTGCACAGAGCTCGGCCCACTCGCGCACGCTCATCAGCTTTCGCTTCTCCATGTTCTCCTGTCGGAAAAGACCTGCCCTCCCGCGCATGAACTGCTCGATGGGACTCTTGATTTTGACGCCCGCCAGCTGCGGCTTGACGTCGGGCAGCGCGTCTCTCCACTCCTTCGGTGGCACGACCTTGACGATCCCCGACCGGCGGCCCCAGCACTCTACTCTGTTCATGTACCCCTCAAAGTCGGCAAACTCGTGCATCGTAGGCTTGAAGACGGGGATGCCGCGGTGGGCTAGGGGGTCGTCCTCGGGTGACAGATGTGCCTTTCCCTCAGAGTCAGGCGACGGCGGCAGATGCAACGGGTCTGTGCCATAGAAGTGGTCCGGCTGCACAGGCGGCTCTGGCGACGACGACCGCGACGCCGTCAGCGACGACACGGGCGAAGACATTCACGTTTCAATGACAATATTCATCCCCGACCCGCCATCAATTTCTCCGCCCCGGCCCCGTGACTCGACTCATCTAGGCCCAAAGTCGAGAAAAATAAAAATCTCGACGCCTCTTGCCGAGACTTCGAGTCTCGCCTTTCATCGCCATAGAAATGATATTCCCCTCGTCACATTTTTTTACTATAGAACGGAAGACAAATATGACTGTCAATGAGAGTCTGGGTCTCCACTCACCGATCAATTTGAGATGGCACTGTGGCGGAGTGGTTAACGCGACAGATTCGAATTACCGCAAGTTATCTGTTCCACTTGTTGGGCACATGTTTGAATCATGCCAGTGTCGGATCTTCCTCTGTCTTTTATTTCATTCTTTTTTCACGAAAATGAGTTATATGCCCGCATGGACCAACACTATGGAGGTAAATCATCAACGAGCGGTAGGTTGATTAAACCTATAACTGGGTTGCTCACAGTGCAGTAGCCTTTTTCCAGCCCTTTTTTGCTTCCATTTTGACCCAGCATCTTCCTTCCTTTTTTGCCCATGGGCAGAGACATGTACTACTGTGTCGCAAAAGGGCCTGGGTGACTATAACTTGGGTTACAAAGAGTTACAGGACTTACAGGCAGCTTACAAGAGGGTTATAATTATCTTACAACAGGAGTCTAAGTACTTATAAGGGACTATAAGTCTCTGGCCTCCCCAGTGATATTTTGTGACATTCACTGTGTTCCCCCCCCCTGTAGGCACACCCTTGCCTACACTCGTCTACGCTTGGCTACATGGGTCAAAATAAGCCTACATGTGTTGATGGCAGCAGGCAAGGCGAAATCAGCACAGCATTGCCTATGCTCGTGTTTGCTCAGCTACGTGAGCTCACCCTTAGCTGTACTATAAAGGCTTCCTGGCTGGCTGTAGCCATAACATAAATTGCCTTCCTGCACAGCTGTAGCCAGGAGTCTGGCTAGAGCACTTCAAAGATCTAAAAGGTATTCGGTCTTTGTAGCCGGCCGAACTCAACTACGACACGTATGACAAGGAACTCTTGGTGATCTTCGACGCCTTCACCCATTGGCATCATTATCTTGGAGGTGCTTCCCTTCCGGTCGATGTTGTCACAGACCACAAGAATTTGGAGTACTTTGCGACTTCCAAGGTCCTTACTCGGCGCCAGGTATGCTGGTCCGAGTATCTTTGCTATTTTAACATGGTCATCCAGTTCCGACTGGGCCGGCTTGGCGGTAAACCTGATGTGTTGACTAGATGATGGGACATCTACCCTAAAGAGGGGGATAGGACTTATGGTTGGTTGAATCCTCATAATTTTCGACTGGTTTTTACCCAAGATCAACTCACCGTATCGCTCTGAGCCACTCTTCTCGAGGACATAGTTCTTTGAGCTACCGTCGTGATGGACGTTGAGCAACTCCATGCCAATATCAAATCCCACATCACAGACGATCCAGCCGGTGTCACAGGTATTGCCGCTGCTTCGACCAGTCAGCCTTCATGATGGACTATTAACTCAGCTGGTCTACTCCGGTACGACAATCGCATTTGGGTTCCACTTGTTGCCAGCGATGCGCCGGCAACATTGCAAGTACGTGTTCTTCAGTATATGCATGATCACATACTGTCCGGTGTGATGCGGACTGCGGTTTCTTGACTGTCAGACGAATGTTACGTCTGTGGGTACAGTACTGCAGAAAAGGTATCGTCCTCTAGGGGAAAATTTGTGTAGCAAGTGTCGGGTGGTTTTTATTCCTCCGAAGTACGATGGGTTAAGTTTTACAAGGGATAGATTTTTAGATGGGTGGGCAGGATCTGTTATTTACAGGCTTTCAGCATGGAGCACTGAGAAGCCTTGGTGCGCTGGGGGGTACGGAGTTCGCTCCTTTTCAGCCTTCCAGGGTCCGATAACTCGGTTGCGTATCCTATACAGGCTCTTATCAAGGGAGGACGGAAGGAGTCGCGGATAGAGTCGTGTTACTTCCTCTGGGTGTTTGCTCTGTGCAGTGGATAGGGTTTTCTGAACTGTGGTTTTATTTCTCCGTTTTGATCTTCTTCTCCGTTTAATGTGCGGGACCTTGGGGCCTGTTTCGAATGTCGTAGCCTAAACTCCGCAATTCCCTTCCTTTGGGACCCCTTTCTTTATGTCTCCGCTTGAACCTCGAGGCGAGATATTCGCTGACAAGGTGACCGTGCCGGTTGGTAGATAGCTATGGATACTGGATTTCTCCGAGTTGTTCCAAGTCAAAGACCGTTTGCCTTCCGATACTACTTGGTCAGAACAGTTACACACTAACAGAAATTCTGTTGCTGGCTGTTTTGATACCACTCCACCTTCGGTACATGGCGTTTTATCGTTTTCAGGATCTCCTATATGACCTGGTCCTTTTTCTGGTCGGAGTTCCCTACTGGAAGCGACTAATTGGCCACTCCTTGCGCTCCGGGTCTTGCGTTAACCTGTACTTTGTGGTACTTCGGTTTTGTGTCCGTCTCGTGTCCGAAGACGGAGGAAGAGTTTCTTTCTCGGCTTGTGAAAGCCTTAGGAATTTAGGTGGGGAAATACAAGATGCCATTCTTGAATAATACGCTAGGTTTTTATACTCTTTGCCCAGCCACCGGCACATCGTCCCGACATGTGTTCTTCATTCTAGACACAGCCCTCAGCCCACAAGGTAGCTCCTACCCCCTTTAGGCCTGAAAGAGTCTGCTTTCCTCCTCTCCTTTGCTGGTGAAGTGCCCGTTGACGGAGGTACTCCTATAGCATTGCCATCAGCCTGGTCAAGCTCCTCTTGTGTCGTAGACCCCATTTCTCCTTTGTCCTGTTACTTTTCCTCGAGTTGGATAGCTCCTTTCCAGCGCGGAGACCGTTTTACAGCGCAGTTCTCGAGTCGGTCGAGTTCTTTCACTGCGGAATTCGTCCCCTTGTTGCGTTGATGTTGTTCTTGCTCTGTTGCACCCATTCCTTCTTGTCGGAATTCATCTCCTCATCATATCGGTACCATTCTTGACTTGGTTGTCCTACTCCTCCTTGACGGAGTTCATCTCCTCGTCGTTTCGGTACCGTTCTTGACTTGGTTGTCCTACTCCTCCTTGACGGCCGTTCTTCGAGCTCCATATCCATACCCTACTCGTCCTATGACCTGTTTTTATCACATTCGGCGCCTGGCTCGGCTTCGCCAGGGCAAAGCCAAGCGAGGCGAGGCGGAGGGGAGTGCGAGGCGGAGGAGGAAGCGCGAGGCAGCGAGCGGGCGTGCGGGAAACGGCGAGTGCACGGTGCGGCGAACAGGCGTGTAGGAAACAGCGAGCGCACGGCAGAAATGCGGTGAGCAGGCGCACAGGAAACGGCGAGCACGCAGCCGAAAAGTGTCGAGCGAGCGTGCGGGAAACAGCAAGCGGGCATGCGGGAAACAGCAAGCGGGCGTGCGGGAAACAGTGAGCGGGTGTGCGGGAAACAGCGAGCGGGTGTGCGGGAAACATGCGAGCGGGCGTTGTTAAATGCCGAACCGAGTGAAGCTCGGAGCTCCGAATGAACGCCGAGGAGACACCGAGTAACTAGAACGGTTAATACGCTGACACTACAGAGAGTGAGCGACTACTCGACTTGCAAACCGCAATTGAATGTAGCTCGGAGTTCCGAAGGAACGCCGAGGGAAGCAGAGGGCCAGAGGTAAAGAGATGAGAGAGAACGATCCAGTTAGCGTTCAGTTGAACTGTGCGCTATAACGAATAAAATTATCAAACTGAAGTACATGGTTGTAACTAGTGGTTTAAATACTGGTAAGTTGTAATAAAGCTTTCAAAGGAATAATGGAACTTGAACAATAGGAAACCTAAAGACAGTAAGTATTAATCTTGATAAATGAACGAACGTTGTGAAGGTAAGAGACAGGTCTTGACATAAAACCAGAGCTAGTTTATACGGAGGTAAGTAAATGAAGCATAGCAATTAAGAATCCTGAATATGCTCCAAGTTGGAATAATGAACGGAATTAAACCGGGAAACGCTCAGTAAATCTTCATAGCGTAAAAACCTGATAGGTCCGGTCTCGGCGATTCCGAGGGGATCACCGAATAGGAGTTTGGCGAGAATAGAAAAGGTGTGTTGAATGTAATGAGGCATAGAATGTCGATATCCACAGTAGTACCTCAGTGGCGCCGAGGAAACGCCGAGGCTGAGTTGGCACGGATATAACAGGCGTGCAGGAAACATCGAGCACACAGCGGAAAGCGGTCGTGCTGGAAACAGCGAGCGGGCAATGCATGCGCAGGAAACATCGGAATGGCGGGCGAGCAGGTGCGTGGAAATCGGGGAATCGGCGAGCGCAGCAGTGGTGCCAATGGAAGTGCAAATGTGTAGTACAAAAAGGGGCGCGGGGACGCAAGAACAGAGAATTCTGTGCGAGCGGAGCATTATGCGGTCTCGTATGGTGGTGTGGATTTGCCAGTGACACCTTTACCAACGCTTATGTCACTGTGTCTTATTGGGAGTTCTGCTGGCATTTTTATCCCGCAAGTCCTTTATGTCCATTTCGAAGGTGTCCGTTTTGAAGTTATACTCCGCCATCCGTCCGCACTATTGTTTTTATGTCCCACTTGTTTCGGTCTCCTCTTTATCCTCGTTGCGCATTTGGGCGGTCACCAGAGTCGACACATAGTGGAGGCTCACACCAGTCATTTCGGGCAGAACTGCACCCTAGCCCTCGTCCGACGTGAGTACACTTGGTGTTAAATCCCGAGTCAAGGTCGGATGACCAGATGCCAGCCGGCTGTTCGGAAGCCGGTTACTGGAAGAAAGTACCAGATGTATATAGAGTGACCAGTCGGCTAGGAAAGAACACAGGCACCACAAAGGAGTTGTATAGGGTAAGCATAGCTATCTAGCCAATCGAGCGGAGAGTGTACGAGGTAGACGTCTGGATGAAGTCCGGACGAGACGACTCAAGGAGCCAAGCAAAGGATAAGAGGCTAAGCACGTTTATAATCAAACCGAGGAATACAGCATAGTACATAGGGTTTATATACGTAGACATACGTGTCACTACTATAGGTAGTAATGATAGATCTCCTTATTTGGACTTTGCTTTGACATATATAAACCCTGTGTACTATGTTGTACTCTTCAGATTGATTATAAATGTGCTTAGCATCTTATCCTCTGCTTCATCTTGAGTCTCTCCGTCTGGACTTCATCCAGACGCCCACTTGCATCTCCTCCCTTTTGATTGGCCAAGATAGTTGTGCACACCCTATACATCCATTCTGTGGTGTTAGCATTTGATCCTTGCTGACTGGGTATCCTTCCTCGACCGGTAACATCTTCCGGTAACCGGTCATCC